TTTGCTGACCTGATTTACTACAGGCGATCAAGCACAACCAGAAGCTCGTCAACAACCGTGAGCCGCACCACTTCCGAATAACGATATGATAGAGGATTTGAGGGACTGACTCCTTCAACAGACTTCCGCAAGGATTGGCAGCGCCGGGTTCGAACCCACTTCGACCAGGTATGACGATGCACCCGACGAGAAGAGAAGAGAAGAAACGATTCATCTCGATTTTCTGGAAATTCACTTGGCACACAAATATTGACTATGGAATAGCCCGGCAAGAAGTCGCGGAGACGCACAGCTCGTCAGGCCAAGGCTGCTGCCCTCGCTCCTCGACCTGTCGACAAGCTCCGACCTGTTGTGCGATGCCCTACCCTTAAGTACAACCGCCGTGTCCGCTCCGGCCGCGGTTTCACCCTGGCTGAGCTCAAGGTATGATATTTTGCGTCTCGGTCGAATGCACACGATACGAGATACGCCAGAAAAATTGCAATTCTAACAACCACGCAGGAGGCCGGTATCCCCAAGGCTTTCGCTCCCACCATCGGCATCGCTGTCGATTTCCGCCGCCAGAACCTCAGCGAGGAGTCCCTCGCTGCCAACGTTGCCCGCCTCAAGGCCTACCAGGAGCGATTGATCCTCCTCCCCCGCCGATCCAACGCCCCCAAGAAGGGTGACACCAAGACCGACGTCTCCAAGATCGAGAAGGTCTCTCACGTCTCCGCTGCTCTCCCCATTGCCCCCACCGACATCGCTTTCAAGGAGATCAAGAAGGGTGACATGCCTTCCAACATCGAGGCCGGTGCTTACCGAACTCTCCGTGTCGCTCGTGCCAACGCCCGATACGAGGGTGCCCGACAGAAGCGTGTGCGGGATGCCGCCGAGGCTGAGTCGGCTAAGAAATAAACTTGCAAAAAGGGAACTGGTGTTTGAGGGTTTTGCTCTTTGCGTCTCTGAGACATGGGCAACGTCGGTTCGAGGCTCTGATGAAAGGCTTGGCCGGGTATGGAGGAAAGATACTCTAGGTCCAGCTCAAGAAATTTACTGCATGATCACCGGCTTTGCTCTATCATTACTTGGTCAATGGATGCATTACGTGCATATGGTATCTCTTTTCTAAAAAGTTATTCGTTATGATTTCAATCCCTTGGACGATTTGTAAAGTGATGTCTATGTTCCTAGTATCTTTGGTTATTTCATCATTTGAGACTGTGCTACTCTTCAGCCTTTTTGCCCAGCAACTCTGTACCCTGTCGAATTAAACTCCGTAACCGATCAACTTGCTCGGACTCCAGAGTCTCCCCGTTCTTGAAAACTTCGGTACATAGGACCAGACAGTTCTCTCTATCCACCTTGGCCATATTAGCCTTTTGTTTCGGGTCAACCTGCTGAGGTTCCAATGCCAGCTCTTCAGGAATTGCTGGGGGGATTTCGGGGGCACCACCCTCGATCTGTGGTGTTTCGTCGTTTGTAGACTTTCCGGTGACTGCATAACTGAGAGCATCCATAGCTCCAGATATAGCAAGGACTTTGGCGACAACTTGGGCGCCATCCTTCGATCGTGACATGAGAGCAAAGACGAACCAAGCCTCGGATTTTAGAATGGGCCATTTCTCTTGAGTGATGAGGAATGACAGCACTTGTGAAAGATCATGTTCAGTATAGAACAGATCCCTCGATGGTGTCTTTTCAATTTCAGAACTCCATCCAGAAAGAACCTCCTCGATGCGTACTGTATGAAGAACTCGGCATACAGTAGCAACACTTCGTGCGGCTTCGAGCCGGGTAGGTTCCGTATCAGATCGATCAAACAACGAGATCATATCATGGACAGTTGTGTGCTTGCCAGATCCCTCTCCTTCAGCTGTTCTGGGGGTGACAACTCGACGAACATTATCTGGGCAGTTCACAAGCAGTAGGCGAAGTAGTGAAACTGCCGAGAACTGGACCTGAGGGAGAGTATCTATGGTCAATATCCTTGGCACACTCACTGGCTCTAGCAGATCCCCTAGTAATGTTTTGTTCTGTGCCGGAATCGCGAGGTTCTTGAGGAAAGACAGTGCGGAGTGAAGAAGCTGGGCATCTTTGATCTCTGGGTTGGAAAGAATTGCGATCAGAGGAAGATGAGCCTGATACTTCTGCACAAAGGCCGTGGAAGCCTGATCTGAACGGGAGAGGTTGCCGAGAGCCAGACAAGCTGCGGACTGAAGAATAACATGCGGCTCCTTCAACCATTTAAGAAGCGACTGTGGCACTGAGCTCTCAAGGGAATAACAAGCTGGGAAAGCGTCGTTGCCCGTCAGGTCAGCCAGGGTTGTAAGCAATGAAGTACACAGCTGCCCTAGTTCCTTGGCAGTGTCTTCGTCATCAAGCTCTGAGTCGAATTGGGTATGTGCGATGTAGAATGACTTGACGAAGACATCTGCTTCTTTTGAGTTGAGGAGTCGCTCTTGGAAGGATTCATTAGCAAGATAACTGGCCGCGGTAGAGACGAGGGCAAGAAAGTCCTCGATATCAGTGCTGTGGTCAGGGCTGACTGCCAGTTTGAGAAGAACAGAGGCCGTCTCAGAATCTGCAACAGCTACCTCACCATCTTGTGTGATGAGGAGAGCAAGGATCTTGCAGAAATAAGTGACAAGAGGGCTAAAAGCAGCGCGGTTGGGTGACTGAAGGAGAGTGATTAGATGACTGCTGAGTCGTGACTCTGAAGCAAGACGTTGAGCAGGTTCTACGAGTATCAGTGTTGTGCCACTCGAGCATTGTCTTGAAGACTCACCATAATCAACGAGAACATTGTAGAGCACCGGAATCAAGTACGGAACAAGACTCATGTCCTGAAGGTGCTTGATAAAAGAAACGATATATTTGCCCTCAACAACTCGAGCTCTATTTTGGTCTGTATCGGCACAGGAATTTCCAGTAACACGCAGAGCCTGGACTTTGACGCCATGAGGCTGCTCCTCATCCGAGGCAAGAATGTCAAGGAAGAACTCGAGAATTCCCGAATCTCCGTAAGGGAGTCTCCAAGCCACTATGGCCATGTTAACGAATTCACAGATGGGGATGGATGTCACACATACCATCTCGACTTCCGTCGCCCAACGCCTTGGCTGTAGCCTCTAGCGAAGAAGGATCTTGTTGCTTAAGAGTTTCGAGCACGGAAGATAATAGCTTTGTTCGCTTCACAACCGCATCGTCAGATTCGTTGGCGGCATCGTAAGTTTCTGGCGATGCTCCGCTTCCTTCACGCTGTATCAGGACAGCCACGTCTTGAGGTGACATAGACATGATCTCAGCTTCTTTTGTGGAGTATGAGATATAATGCTGAAGTTGGACAGACGTTGAATTAGTTATACCAGTCCACTTGAGGTACCCTATACAAATGTGTTGAAGAGGTGCTTACAAAACAACTAAAAGTTTCTAAAGCTTTACATGAATGTAGGGAATGGGAGAATAAATCTCTTCGTAACTAAAATTCAGCAACAAGTTTCAGAACCGGTTCATGAAATTTATTACGTCCCGCATCTCATTGCGGTCAGCTAACATTCTTTCCTGCAGCTCCATCGCGGGGCATTATCTCGGTGAAGCTCGGTGAATCGTGGTGAATGTGTGACCCGGCTAAACTTCGGCAGACTCTGCTGTGTAGCCGGTTGATCGGAGGTGCAAAATTCCGACCTCGGAATGATCCGCCTCCGCCGACTTTGCACCCGGGGAAAAAGTCTCTAGCAGCGCCATCACGATCCTTTCCCTCGTCGCGAACGAGGGCCGCTATTTCAACATCGCTTCTCAGCGATATCTCCACCTTTTCTCCCGATAATCAATTCGTCTACATCACTCATAATTCTTCAAAATGGTATGCGCCCACGTCTTGGATCATGCCCGCCATGTTCCTTATTTCAAGAATCGCCGCATTGGTTGGAGTGGCGGCTAACATAACCCCAGGCGCACAAATTCGTGGTCACGGCCTTCCTAACAGGCTCCCGAATCCTCGGTCGATCATTCGTCGCAGCTTATAAGCAGGCTCAGGCTGCTTCAGCGTACCAGCGAGCGCAGGCCAAGGCTGGCAACCCATCCGCTGGTGCCTCTCTCTCATCTGGCATGACTCTCGATGAGGCATGCAAGATCCTCAACGTCAAGCCCCCGGCTGGTGGACAAGCCAATGTCGAGGAGGTTCTCTCACGTTATAAGCGACTGTTTGACGCCAACGATCCTCAAAAGGGTGGCAGTTTCTATCTTCAGAGCAAGATCGTAAGAGCAAAGGAGCGATTCGAGCGAGAGATTGGTCCTATACGGGAGAAGATGGAGCAAGAGGCTGAAATTAAAGAGGGCTTCAAGCCCAAGGTCTACAAGGACTGACGACTCTCCTTGAGCAAATGAAACTGGAAAAAGCAACACTTGTACGATGACCTCGTAAAGGAGTTCTGAGGGACGGGAGGGAGGAGTTCACTTTCTCCATGTATACAATGTACATCTTCACTCGACTGCGGCATGGCACGGCGTTTATTGGGTTATCGGTGGCGTGATGAGCCGCTCGAGGTTGGTTGGTTCTTAGACGAAAGAAAAAAGAGACAGACGACCTATGCTATCTTATGTTTAATACAACTGTACGATATCAGCGGAGTACTTTTGGGTTGGATGTGAGTAGAAATGAGGCCACGAGTTGGCGTGAGTTGAGGGCGTATATGTCGGCAACGAATGTCTAGTCAAGGACAATGTGGTGTGTCTTGCGAGGACATTTTGGTATCCCTGAGACAAACACACCTCACTGGGTACTGATCTATTATAGCCACAAAGCTATTCACACTGCCGGATTCTTCTAGGCTTATAAGTCGTCTCTTGGCTCTATACGTGGTGTAATAATAGTCTAGGTAAATCATGAAAAGGAGTAACTAACTGTATTGTAAGATCAAACCACAAACTTTCCCACAAGATGTAACACGCTGATGAAATCATACAGATGTAATCAAAACTATCTTTCATTCTGTTCCATCCAAGGCGCAATCGCAAAATTAAATCCAGCCATAATTTCCGGTTTGCACAGGCTCTCCAGTTGTCCTCCATTCTTGAGGCGGCTGAGGTTCTTCCTGTCTACGACGGGATCTGTTTATGGAGAGTGGCCTAGGTATTTCGACTGACTCTGGAGATCCGCTGTCCTGGCTGTAGACACTCGAGTTGCTGCGATCTTGAGCTGGATCAGGAGTTGGTACTTGAACCGAAGGGGCCTGGACTTGATGTCCTGGAATAGCGCGAGGAGTACGTGGGATAAATGGATGTACTACAGCGGCGGGAGCTTGAACTGGTTGCTCAGGAATAGGAGGCGGGGGAGGGGGAGGGGGAGGAACTGGATGAGGCTCGGGTTCCCAGTCATCAGCTTCCTCGTCATCAGGATCTGGTTCTTCAGGCTCGTTCGGTGGAGGAAATGGAAACTGGTGCCTTCTGAACCAGTCCCTCACCGAGGCCACCAGATTTCTGGCCTGTCCCTCATCGGCCTCTGAGTCTGAATCGTCGAAGGCGCTGCCTCCAACCTCATTAGCTTCACCCATTGGCTCCTCTGGGTCATCATCAAACTGAATATGCTGGCGGTGTTGAAGGCATTTCCAGGTGACCAGAACGGTGAACACGATGAAAAAGAGAACTGCAATGATGATACCGGCTGTTTGAAGGCCAGCAGAGTGTTTCTTCTTTTGTGGCGTTGGAGTGTCAGTCCCTTCTGGGTCCAATGTTGCTGAAGTCTCAGTCAAACCCATCGATGTCGCTGTACTCTTCCCCGGACTCATTGATGTTTCCGTGGTCTCACTGAGACCCATGGATGTTGCTGTACTCTTCCTTAGATCTATAGTAGTGGATGCCGTCGTGGTAGTGGTCTCGGTCTCGGTCTCAGTCTCGGTATGTGTTGTTGTTTTCGTAAACCAAGCCAAGGTAGTGCCATCGTCAGGACCTGGAAGAGTTGACCATCCGACGCGAGGCTTCGTCTGTGTTATTCTGATACTCGTGATGCTTAGTGTCTCCTTGGGTAGTTTGAGCGCCGCGACCGAACTGGTAATACCGTTTTCTGGTTGTTTAGGACCATGGTCATCGCGACCTGACTGTTGAGGATCATTATTGTTAAATGTAGCGCCATAATCCGGACCTGGAGGGGTTGGCCATCCGATGCGAGGTTTCGTTTGCGTTGTTTTGATACTTGTGATGGTTGGTGTCTCCTTGGGCAAGCTGAGCACCGAGGTCTGGCTGGTTATGATCTTGTCTGGCTGTTGAGGATTATTGTTACTAAACGCAGCGCCGTCATCGGGACCTGGAGGGTCTAGCCATCCGACACGAGGTTTCGCCTGTATTGTTTCCATACTCGCAATGGTTGGTGTCTCCTTGGGCAAGCTGAGCACCGAGGTCGGGATGGCTATGACCTTATCTCGGTCTTTAGGGCCATGGCTATCGCGACCTGGCTGTTTGGGGCCATAGTTACTGCGGCACACGTCGCAGATACTTTTGTATGTTGCATCGTTGTCTTCGTCATACCTGAAGCCGCCGGCGTCGTCATTAGGCACTTCAGGGTGAGTTTCGAATGAGTTCTTGCGACAAGGGCCACTATACGGAGAGAAGATATCAGTATAGTCCTGAGATGAGAGATGAAGTATATATGACTTACCAACCTGACAACAACCAGTTGCGGTCTATCGTCGCGTCTGTGACTTCACTTTGGCAATTCAGGGCAGCTACGTGTATTGCCATAACTACTAGGAGGGAAAGTCTGGGAAGAAACATCTTGCAAAGTGTTCCAAATAACGGAAAACCTTTAGATGCTGGAAGTTAGGCGTAGTGAAGTCGAGTCTTCGATGGCTGTAGCAAACGCAACGGTATAGGGGTATAAGGACCAGAAAGGACAGAACGGATGAGATGCGGGCGATATTCGTATGTTTTGCGTCTCAAGTTCCATTCTATGTCTTGCACTTCTAGGCTTCCAGATATACATCCAAAGGTAAAGTTTTGTGCGTGAATCCTCTCATGGTTGCCAACGAAACTCTACGACAGTTGTTTGCTGCAGACTCTAGCGTTTGTCACAGTGTCACATGCGACTCATTCAGACACGATATCAAGGTTTTGCCAAGGGTGCCTTTTAAGTCTGAGTTATATGCGGAGGTCTAACGAGGGCCTCTCATAAGTGAAGAGAAATCAAGCTTTGGGGTATACTTTCTTATATCAAACTTTGCTATTCTGCACGCTCCTTGCCCTTTGACTCGGGATATTGGTCGAGGTCTGTACTGTGTCCGTCAGGATGTCTCGAACCAGAAGGCTCGAACTTATAGTATTTGAGACCCATGTTACAACCATTTTCATCCAACTCGAAAGACATATGACGTGCATCGTTAGTTAGAAGCGCGTTGACATTGGTAGAGCGATAGGGGGCTGATATAGGGTTGAGCTCTTGACCGTAAGGCGAGTTTAACGGAGTTAGGTTTGAACGTGAAGTTCTCACGCCGCGTGATACACCAGTGCCGGGACTGGTGCTTGTTCGCTTTCGGCGACTTTGTAACCAAAACCAGATTATTGAACATATTGTGGCAAGTAGGAAGAGCACACCGACTGCGATAGGCGCAACCTCACCTGCTGTTAAAGAGTCCTTTGAAGACGAGGCTTCTGTACCTGTTGGTAGCTTCGGTTCATCTTGGCTCGTGGTAAACGATGAAGGCAAAATGGAGCTTGATCGTATGCTGTCACTTATAGTAACAGTACTCCAGAGTGATGGATCAGTGTTCGCATCAACGCTGGGAGGAAATAAAGGGCTGAGGTCTGTGGTTGGTAGACTTGTCCGAGCGGAACTTGTCGAATGGTCCTTGACAGCTGTTATTGTGATATGGGTAGTGATCTTGGAAGTGACTTTGGGCAATGGATCGATGGGACCTAGGTGCTTTGTTTCGAATACAGTGGTAAATGAAGTTAGAGTTGCCATCGAGGTAAGGGTTATCGTGTGTCTTGAGGTGAAAGTCACCGTTTCTTGAACCTTTTTGCGTGGGATTGTAATAATCTTCGCATAAGTGGAATACGGTTCTTGGTTGGATTTCATGTCGCTATAAGTATGACCCAAAGAATCGATGAAGATACGAGGCTCATTAAGGAAGTAAGATGTGAGCTCATGCTCAAATTCTTCGTTTTCGGTCGTTTCCAGGTCAGGAGACTGGGTTTGAGCCTCGTCGCTACCATAATGTCAGGGGTTGAGCGAATCCAGAGGCTGAGTTGTACTTACATGTACTCAGAGTCAGGAAAGGGGACAGCCATCTTGAGCAGTCATTTAAAGTCCTTTGGGGAAAAAGAACTGTTTGCCATATCTACTGTTTGTTGAAATCGCTCTTGGGAGAACGGCTCCAAGGGCCATGTATATAGTCACCATGCTGGGCTGATTCAAAGGTAAGTCCGTGTCTAGATCAGAGATCTAGTCACTTGCTATGAGTTGTTGGGTGTTGGGACTTATTAAATAGTGAAGAGACTTATCAAGAGTGATCGATTCAGAGAAATATAATGCTATTCGTGTAACTAATAAGTGCTATCACGAGGCTCTGCATCTGTGTCGACCTTGCGTACAGCCAGAATTATTTCCATGTCGTGCAGTCATTTATGATTTCAAAATCGCTGGCGCTGGCTCGACAGGCTGCACAGGGTCCGTGTAGGTGTGCCCAAAGGGACCATTGTCAAGCTGGAAGTTGAAATTGTTCTGATTGTACCTGTAACGCCAACGGAGCCCTAGAACCACAGCGGCAATGATGGAAAATATAAACAAAAATACGGCTATAACGAATACGAAGGTCCATCCGTCTGCAGATAGAGAGCCGATGGAGGATTCAGCAGTTGGAATTGCCAAACTCTCTGTAGTCGACGAACTTGAAGTCAGCTCCTCGCTCAAGGATGTCAGAGTTGCACTTGGCAGCGTCAAATGACTGATGATGCTGAGTATATCTTTATCACTTCTCGTGGTATCGGTAGGGCGCAAGACAAGAGTGAAAGTCTCGTGCTTATGCCTTGTATACCAAGTGAAGGGTTCCCAAGTCTCGGTACCTATGATTATCGCGCCATCTTTGATGGAAGTGCCATCAACCTTGTCGATGACTGTCACACCCTCTCTGTCTTTTCCTGGAAGGTCCTCTGATGAAAATGTGAAAACTGGCTCGAAGCCAGATGGAACTGTGCTGTAGACACTTCCAGTCAAATCTATAAGCTCGCGAGGGCCATTTTGGTGGTGGGTGGACGAAGGATCAGCCCCATGAGAGGCGGAGGTCTCCTGACTCTCCATGATCTAGTAGACTTTTATATTGTCGATGAGATATGTAAAACAAGACAGGCCTCTTACTTGGACGATTGGGCAGTTGGGCAAATGCTCGTGGAGGTTTGCGAAGAAATCGAACACAGGGGGAGGGGCTTTGGGGGACTATATATAAGTGGCACACTGAGCTGATTCAAGGTATTCCATTCTGTTATTGAAGATACATTACAGTCATTGTGAGTTACTATACGAGAGTAGATAGATCAGGTTGTGATCAGGCAGCGTAATGCATAGACTCAGAGGGGGTAGTGATATTTTGTGTAACTAAAAAACTATGGAAAGACACTGCATCCATGTTCAATCATATCCTTGTTAATCAAGGTCGCCTTGAGCCGTTGAGATTTTCAAGCTTTCCACCCATAGTCCGGAACCGCTTATTGTGGCTGTATCTCGGCATGGTTGTTGCAGACAGTGACAGCAACATTAGTTGATGCCCCGTACTGCGGTCCATATCGCGGTTTATGTCGTGGCTCAGATTGCAGCTCTTGTCGTGGTTGATATCGTGGTTCGTTTTGCAGTTCATGTTGCTCTCTATGCCGCGGTTTTGGTCCCTTTACACAACTTCGTACCAAACAAAAGATGAACATCGCAACACAAAGGGTACAAAAACCTGCGAACCCCCCTATTATATATCTTGTGGTATCTGATAGACCTGACGTTTCAGACGCAATCGGGGATGAAGACGGTGGTAGAAGCTCTGTGCTTGAATCGGTTGTGTATGATGTAGTCCAAGACCTTCCTTCACTTGATCTGTAAGAGGATGGACCGAGTAGAGTTGTCTCGGTGCTCAAGCTGAGCACCTCAGTAGTCGTCTCCTTTAGTGAAGTGTGCTCTGACTCCTGACTGAGGCTCGTCACGTCTGATGTGCTGCTTGGGGGGACGAACTTGGTTCCATCAATAATGGTGACTATCTCTATCTCAGTACCCGGGGTGAGCCTTCGCGGAATACTCGTCGTTATGGATTGTTCTGACTGTGTGACTGTGGTAAACCTCTCAATGATAGTCAAGTCGGCTGCAAGTTCCGAGATGCCTTGGCCAGGGCGCTCTGACCATGGTATGGTAAGTACTGGCTTGAAATCCGGAGGTATTGTACCGAATGTATGACCAGTGAGGTCTTTGAAATCACGAAGCTCGAATCTCTGGCAGTTCGGTGAAGCCTCATTCTCCGATAGTGTGTCCCCTTTTTTGTCCATGTTGAGGTTGGCAGATTGCAATTTGAGGTCATCAATACTGTCAAGAAAATTAGTGAAAGTCCTGTATAATAGCCTAGGTTTCTTATGAACTTACAACAGTTCAGGATCTGTGAATAGGAAGCACATCGTGTGTTTGAGAAATGGATTTGTGTCTGCTCGCGAAGGATGATACTAGGGAGGAAACGAGCAGTCAGGAATGTCACATTGTAGAACAGTCCCCCCAGAGGATTAAATAGTTTTAACGACGGTAGGATTGGCGGAGAAATCAACATTGACTAGCTGCAGTGTCATCTGTGGCTAGATGCTAAGCCTGGCAGGGTTGTGAGTAACTGAAGAAGAGGTCCATACTCTCAGAACCTAACCCAGCTCTGGTTAATCATGCCAGCACAAAACGAACCCAAGGATTATGCAGTCACGAAGGGCAAGTCATATATAAAGATGATCTGGAAAATGGTTCGTTGCTGAGCGACATCAAGTGTCGGGAATGATAGCACCACTCAGTTAAAAAGAGCCGATGACATAGATGGATGATCCAGGTACTTCCCGCGCTTAAATTCTTCTCGTTGGAACGACACGACATCTCTGAGATAATCTCTTGGACCTCAGTGTGTATCTGATGCTCGCCTAGCCCCTTCTTTTGAGTACCACCCATATATGCCTATTTCCAGCGCTTCAATACCACATATGTGTTCTCACATCTTCCTCCTGACCAGGCCCTTCCAGTAATCAAAGCTATTCTCGTCACTCTGCAATGCCCAGATCTTCCCTGTCGACCTCCCGGTAGCATCTATCTCTTCAACCTTCAACATTCCCCAATCCCGCGTAATTCCCACCACACGAGCCTTGACACCAGCTTCTGCCTCGAGAGTGACGTCTTGTCTTGTGTGTAACCAGTAGCGGTAGTAACGGGCTTCAAGATCAGCTGAGAACCCTTCTCGGAGGAACTGAGCGTAGATGGCTTCGATGCGTGTGAGAACGCGTGCTAGGAGGGTTTCGAGATGAAGTTCTGGTGCTCCTGAGGGAACGAGGTCGGATATGGAGATTGTGGGACGGGGGTTGATGGTATTGAGGCCTACGCCGAGGATGATTTGGTAGTTGCCGTCGAAATAGAGACACTGGGAGAGAATACCGCCGACTTTAACGTAGTGTGGTTTCTCCTTTGACTTTGTGGGATCAAGGGCATCTAGCAATGTTAGGCTTGGTCTTGCAAAGGAGCCGGACTGACTTACAAATGTCGTTGGGCCACTTCAGCTTGATGGGAATGTTCTCGTACCCACGATCATAAGACTGCACAGCCTCAACCATGGCAATAGCCGTGATATACTGAATAAATACAACAGGACGAGTCACAGCGAGGTGGGCTGGGTGGTTGATTACAGTCGAGAAGATGAGCATTCCAGGGGGAGCAATCCAGACGTTGGAGCCACGACCACGGCCAGCAACTTGGGTGGTAGCTGAGATAGTGAAGCCACTTGGGAGTTTCGGCATGAGCTTGGGGTTCCTGGTACATGTCAGTCTTGTAAGTCTCCTGTTTGGGAGGGGAACATACTTCTCAAGCATGGTATTTGTACTTGTGACAACTTCGCCGTACATGAGCAAGTCACCCCATGCCTTAGCAGTTGGCTCAATTTGTCGATAACGCTTCAGACTTGAAAAGAATAGACCATGGTTGAAATGTGGTGTAAGTTTGGGATGAGGAAGACCCTTCTCGTGAGGAAAGATCTTCTTGATGATCTTGCTGTAGTCAATGCTGCCATTCTCAGAGATGTTGGAATCCGTTGTCTCTGTCAGAGATTGCTGAAGCCCCTCGAGACTCCAGATTGTATCTTCATTCTGGATGTGAAAGGCGTCTGTTTCCGCTCGGATCCATTCTTCGCCGTTCTCCTTGTCGATGATGTCGCTCCAGTCAGTCAATAGCTCTGATACACCTGTGTCGGTGATGGAGGAGAGGTGAAGATGGGAGAGCGAGGGAACACCTGTGTCGTGAGGGCTAACCTCAAGACCGAGCTTTGTGAGACATGCCTTGAGAAAAGAAGCTCGGTCCTTGTCGGCGTCTGCTAGTTTGGTGACCAGGCCATCATATCCCGGGACGGTTGGCTGAGGATTCAAGTTGGCCGCAGCGAACCTAAAGTGTATGAGTCAGTACATGTATACGGTAAACATATTGAAACGTACTCGGGGTGGGGGCCAGTAAGCAAAGCTTTACCATCTCCGACTGTGCAAAGAACAACTGCTGCTTTCCCATCGCCGCCATCGACATCAAGCTCCTCATCGTAAGTAGCGAGAACCTCGACCTTTCTATCCTTGACCGAAGCAGCATCAACAAAGACACCTCCACCGTTATAGTAAGAGATGATTTCAGACGCAACCTCCTGTTCAAAGGCACCTTTGGGTATCGTCAAATGTACAGCCCTCGCTCCCTTTTCACTCCGATACTCAAAGCCTTTGAACGCACCACCTCGACAGGTCCCCGGGAAGAACCCTAGCTCTCTTCGTCCAACAACCTCCATGGGCTTGTTTCCCACTTCAAACTCGCACTTCTGTGTACCGTAGTAGCCGCCAGCACAGAAGCCCAGATAAGAGCCTCCTCGGCGAACATAGTCGCCGATACGACGATTTCCCTCACCATTCAATGCCTGGCAGTAGCCGAGATCGCCACCGCCTGGGAAGACGAGGAGTGCGCATGTTGCTTGCCATGGTTCTTTGAGGATGATGTTCTCTGTGATGGGGATGACGGCGTAGTTGGGGCCGAGAAGACGGCGGAGGGACCAGATACAATGCCGCACTGACTCAACTGTGGTGCCAATGCCTTGATGGTGAATCAGTGGGTGTCACAGCCTGTGAAGGGAGTTGATGGATCAAACCTGTGTAAACAAGCACGTTGAGCTTTGCTGGTGCCATTGTCAGTGTTTGGCTGATTCTGGTGATATCGTAGTTGTTCGTGTAGTCTTGTCACTTGACTTTTGCTGGATCTCGCCTCAGCCAAAATCTCCGCCTCGAACCACCTTTAACCTCTTTCAACGATAACACGCAAGACTCAATCACCACAATTTTGGACAAGAGACCGGTCGAAATTATGACAAAAGAAGAGAGCAATGCTCAGCAGAGCACGCAAGAAGACGACGATGAGCCCGATGAATGGTGAATGAGCGCTCTTTTCCGTTGAGACACCGAAAGCCGAGGCCTTTACTAACCGCTGATGAAGGGACAAGCGGATCTTTAGCACTGGATGCGCGGGTGAGTCTTGTTTTTCTTACAAAACCCAATGGCAAAATACAAAGGAAGATATGGAACTCTATGAGGTTCTATAAGTCTACGCCTCAACTACTTGCTCACTAATCGTTTTGTTGAGAAAAAGGCTTGCTAACAGGCATCACCAACTCAGATGAGAACGCAAAAATGACCGACTGCTACTTTGAAAAGAAGGATTGGCGCGCATGCGCTGCAGAAGTGAGTATCAAAAGTCCAATCTGATGCAATCACATTTATTTTATTTGTTTCGAGCTGCCTTGCAGCATTGCTCTTATGCTGTCATAGACCTGAGCTGACAGTATCATAGATGGAGCAATTCAAACAGTGCTGGAAGGCTCATAACAACGACCAACGTACAGAGACCAAGGACAATTGAAGTCGCATTATGGGAAATTTACTGTACTATTACTGTATAAAATGTACACTACCAAGATCAGGCTCTCCTTTCCAGGCGATCAGGAAACTATGACTCCAAATAAGTTCACTCAATCAAGGCATCATGATATGACATACACAGTACTAGCACTGTCCCCCACCGGACAATCAATCCACCCGCCCTTGAAATTATCGCCCATAGCTTCATCAAGCTTGAAGCTCACCATATACAACTCCCCATACCAACCCGCAATGTTCGTCCCTCGCCGCGCCCTCTTCGCCGCCCGAAGACTCCCCACCACCTTTCGTCCAATTGCACGATACGCTACCGAAGCATCAGACGTCACGCTGCAAAAGCCTGAAGAAGATGTTACACAAGTGAAGCAAGAAGACGTCGTTACAAAGCCCAAATACACTACCAGAGCTAAAGCTGCACCTTCGACTGCGTCTGCCAAGTCGCCAACTGCAAGATCTACACCGGCAGCCGCATCTACAAAGTCTACATATGCGCCCAAGACGTTTCCTCCAAAGCCCACGGCAAGCAGCAAGAGTGCTAAGCCGGAGAGCCCACACAAGCCTGTTACGGTGTCGAAGAGCATTCTAAGCGAGACTAGCGAGACGAACACGGAGAACACAGAGCACATCAATTGGGAGACGAGCTGGTATGGCCTTGGTGTGAAGGCTGTTACTCCTGAGCAGAGTGAGATTCTCGCACGACCAGTTGATGCTGAAGATGTGGAGGTCAAGCCCGATGGTATCATCTACTTGCCAGAAGTCAAGTACCGACGACGGCTGAATGAGGCCTTTGGACCGATGGCTTGGGGAATGGTCCATCGTGGGGAAGTCGTTATCGGTAACCAGATCGTGACGCGTGAATACGCTCTCATCGTAAACGGCCGGTAAGTGAACCAATCTCCAATATTATATAGTGACTTACAAGAACAGAATCGTCTCCCAATCGCAGGGCTACAACAATTACTTCAGCCCCGAATCTATCCCCGCCGCTATTGAGGGTGCCAAGTCAAACGCCCTGATGCGTTGCTGCAAGGATCTCGGTATCGCCTCTGAACTCTGGGATCCTGTGTATATCCGCTGGTTCAAAAAGCATTACATAGAGGAAAAATGGGTCGAGCACACGGTCACTAAGAAGAAGAGGACTTTCTTTTACAAGAAGGGTCTTGCTGAGGCAACGTACCCTTACAAGTTTTGTTAGGCATCTGTCATGTATTCGTGCACTACATTTGTATAGAATCTCGGGGTAGATCCCCTACTGTATGATATGGATGGGCTAGACGTATGGCTTTGGCGCATGGAGCGATACTTAGTAATTCAGAGGAAAACGAATGAATCACGAATCATCAGACCAAGATCTACGGCTGTCTAAAGAAGAACGAGTTCATGTACACCAATCTCCATTTATAGATATGCACTGGAGCAGCTATCACGCCGAATATCAACGGGCCCATGTCAAAAAAACACCATATCTACGGAGGACCTCAGTAAGACCCATGATCATTCAAAACCCACTTCCCAGAATGGAGTTTCTATCTTTCCCTTCCGGAAGCGCTCGCTCCGCCACCTGATGCGGCATCACCGCCCCATCCCCAAGGAACCCATGAGCCTGATGCATTTCTAGTGCCAGCCCCCTGGTTTCTTCGGCGCACCTGACGATGGTCTTCGTCCGAACTAGTCTCTGCGTCGATCCTTTCGAAATCGGTCTCGCTGCGACTCTTGCTAATACCACTCCATCCGCTTAGTCCACTAGGTGGTCGCTGGGTAGGTTCGTCCTCTTCATTATTATCATAACCTCCGTAGGCCATGGGATCACGGCGAGTGCCTGTGCTTGTCTGGGCACGCTGGGCTTCGGTACGAAGATCCTGGGCCTCCCGATCAAGTGCCGAGATCAGGACATTTAGGCGATCGCGCTGAGCCGAGATGAAGTCCATCCTGGCCCCAGACTCGCGAAGATGCGGTGGGATCAATGCGCCCGAATTTGTGGGCTCACCTCCAACTGTTCTCGTACCAGCTGATTGTCCACCTACACCTGCGTTGGTAGCAGCTGCCACGGCGCTAGAGAGTAGGCTGTAAAAGTCGGTGCCGCTGCTGTTATTACCAGCCCATCGCGCAGCAGGGACGTTGAATCGTGACAGAAGAGACTGTGTATAGCCTTGCGCAGGCTCGGGAGGGGGCGACTCGGGTTCGGATGGTGGAAGACCGAGGACCTTGACCTTGAACTGCTCGATAGCGAGCTTGAGGTAAGATATTCCGGCAGCAGTCAAGCGCTCATGTGCGCTTGCGATGAAGTCGTCAATCTGCGTCTCGTTCTTTTCAAGATAAGGATGGACATATTCTTCGTATAGACGTCGAGCGCCTTGTGTCTGTGGGAGGATAAGGTAGAGGAGGAATAGTAAACGGAAATAACCGTAAAGCGGAATCCTGCCAGAGTCAGTACCGAAGGTGTCAGGTATGGGTTTTAGACATACCATGAGACAATAAACCAAACCCAAGACTCAGCGAGAAGACAGCAACTGAGCACCACCCAGTACATCAGCCATGGCGTCAGCTGGGTGGGATCATGTGTCTTGAGCGCTTTGTAAGATGCAAAGATAGGAAACAGATAACAGGCGACAGAACTATTGAGAACAGAGGAACAGTCAGTAAATCAGATCCATTGGCATTGGAGCTGATCGGGGTGGTTATCGCAATCTCGAGTATGACGCCTCATGACGAAGAGGTATAGGGCTGAAGCTTACGATAAGAGCATAGGAAAAAGGTCAAACATGACTGCAATCCGAGGTGAAACCTCGTGCGTAGTTCGACAGTTAAATCTAAATGTGAGCGGGGTTTGACCAACGGAGAAGAGGGTAATTGTCTCCGAGAGGTTGAAGGAAGAGAAGGGAAAAGGGTTTTCTGTAGGTGTAATAGAATAAGTTTGAGGATAAGGTAGGTGACGTTTAGTGGTTGAAGCTGACGGGAGCTGAGCTGAAAATGGACCTAAGAGGAAGTGGGCGCCGAAACTCCCGTGAGCGGGGGCGGGGCACTTTTTTCGCGTGACGGTGATGGCTTAGTGAGTGACCCACTGAGAGTTGGTGCTACAAATGGAGGAATAAGTCTCGAGTCAAAAAGAGCTGATCACCTGAATGCAGACTTGACCCTCGTGATAGAGGCAAGTGTCTTTTGTTGGGCACAATGACGACTTTTATTCTGATTCCCAAACTGAACACGGTTTCTTTGAGGGTTCTGACTCTCTCAACTGCGTAGTTGGTACACGTGTCTCGGAGGCGAGTCCTGTATCTTGAAGACAAGTGGTTTCATATTCGTGGATAGAGCATCAAGGCATCAACCATTTCGAAGCATACTGCGGTGATTCATCCCTGGCTGTCGCCTGGTGAAAACACATATAACGCGTGGTAATAGATCTAGGCAAGATATATATGCCATACCGTACTTGATCCGTCAAATGGGGAAAGGGAGAAACAAGATAATATCTTATGTGTGATCCTTAGGATACGAGAAGACAGAATCTAGGTACCGGGTGAGATCATGTCAGATCTATATCCAATCAGATCATCACGATATGCTTAATAATCAGCCATCCGGCTTATCTCTTCTGATGCAATACATCAATTCTGCCTTCTCGTATTCTAATGGAAGGAATAGGATATCGATATGGCTTACTTATCGGAATCTGAAGCGATGGGATATGGGCCACATTATAAATAGTTTCAGATTGAAGGATCACTAACAAAGTTTTGATGTCGCAGTTGACAACGGAGTCGGCATGACTCGGGCCCGGTCGGAGGCGCGGGCCAAGCCTCGTGCTCCGGCTTGGCTGAGTCCGAACTGCAACTCCAAGTCGGCACCAATATCAACGTAGATCTAAGGAAATGTTGAGCCTCATTATTTGACACGATAATATTCTTATTTGATCTCTACTTGTCGTGACGAAGCAATACTTGATACCTTGTGGAATTGTCATTTCTTGATCTGATTTGACCTGTAAAGTAAGTACCTAACAATATATTGGCTGTCAAGTCTACCCTACATATCTCTACAGCTTGGATCAACCTGGCTGTGAATATCCAGAATTTAAGCATAGACTTACAGTGAGGACAATGCTCTGGGGCTGAGTACGAATATAGCAATATTTGTAACGAAATGAGTCTAAGATAAGATCAACACCGGCTTGGACCTAGTGTCACGTCACGATGCAGCCATCATCACCATGGGATGTATATCCGGTCACCACTGCCGAGCTAGATCATGCAAGGCACGGACAGTAGATGCCCGTTGCGGCCGAGATAATCATGTTAGAGCGAGTAGATATGGCGCAAGGAGAACTAATTTCGCGATACATCTTTGCATATCCAATGACTTCTGGGCTGCCCAGCCACGTTCTCTATCCCTATCAACAGTCCACAGCAAACTCTAACTCAACAACACTCGCGCAAACCATGCCATGCTGACGTGGAATCTCATTAAATCTAGAAATAGCTTATCAAGATCTCTCGTATTAATGCGAATTATAGAACTCTATCAAACTCAGCCTCACGTTTCATGTCCATTTTGCCCGTCCGCCTCCCGCGGGCGCCCGATCGCCCGGAGCCCCGGACGGACGGCGCACCCGGACCCACCTGATCCTGAAGTGCACAATCGACTTTTTTTCTCCACTGCAGCTGAAATAGTATAGGAATTCAGGATCAGTGGTGCCAGTTGACGTAGTTGGGTCGTTATGCCCGCGGAGTCAGATCTTGGATATTTGTTCCGACGGGTGCCGAGATCTGATATCTTGAAACCTGCCCCTTTATAAAGACGTGAATCTGCTGTCTTCCCCAGATATCTAATCCATCACATCATAACAACCATCCAACAGTAAACAACTGCGAGCTCTGATCAGTTCCTGCATATCCAGTCCGGCCCTACCGAAAAGTTTATCAACTCTAATTCCAAGACGCTGTGAAGATCGCAAACATGAGCCACACACCACTACCCGGCGGGCTTATCTCTTTCGGCTCCGATGCCAACTGTACACTCGAATTATGTCCCCTCGAGTCGAGTATACTGCGATACCAACCGAATGTTCCCGCCAATGCCATTTTCATCGGAGTATTCGGATTGTCCATGGCTCTCCACATCTTCCAAGGCATCAAGATGAAGACATGGGGTTTCATGGCGAGCATGATGGCAGGATGTATTCTCGAGATTATCGGCTACATTGGGCGACTCATCATCCACGATAATCCATTCGACTTTATTGGCTTTCTATTGCAGATCAGTAAGTGTTTCTAAACCAAACTCGAACAAGCATGGATGGAAAGGGAGAACTTGACTAACTCTGGCCCAGTCATGATCACCATTGCCCCCGTTTTCTTCTCTGCTGCCATATATGTTCTTCTGTCCCAGGTGTAAGTTTCCCCAGTTCACTCAGAAGAAGCACAACTGACACTCTCAGCATCAACTTTGTCGACCCAAGTGTCTCTCGATTCTCCCCCAAGTATTTCTACTGGATCTTCATCCCTTCCGACATTATCTCCCTCATCCTCCAAGCCGTTGGCGGTGCAGTCTCAGTTGTTTCCACAGCGCAGGAAGACGTCAAGACTGGAGAGGACGTCTCCATCGCTGGTCTCGTCTTCCAAGTCGTCACTCTACTTTGCTTCGTTGCATTGTTCATCGACTACGTTATCAGGGCTTCCAAGTCACCGGCCCGATATCGCCTTACTAAGCCCATCCTCACTTTCCTCTTCTTCCTTTTCCTTTCGACCATCTTCATCCTGATTCGATGTGGCTACCGCATTGCCGAGCTCAATGGAGGATACTTCAGTGCTATCTTTCGAGACGAAGGTCTCTACATCGCTCTTGAATCTTGGTAAGAGCCCTTGAAGATTGTCACATTTATAGTAACAACTCACTAACTGTTCTTAGCATGATGTGCATTGCTGTTCTCCTCCTGAATGCTGGCCACCCCGGATATGCTTTCAAGGAAACCCCCGAGTTTACCAAGGAAATGGACCAGATGGACCAAGACGACAATACCGTCTTTGGAGAATAAGTCTCATCTTCGTCAGAACTCCTCAGATGGAGAACATGCTCGCGAGGACAAGGAACCCCCTCGACCTACCAGGGCAAGCTCAACCGATATTTCCTTTATTATCGATATTGTGCCTCGAATTTTAGCGTGTATATAAACAGTATGGCGAAATGGCGTTAAGATATGGCAATAACTGCCTGGAGGGTTATAGATGATTTTTTAGAAAGGTATGGCACAGCGTGTGCAGGCTTAGGTATAAAGTCCACGCGATTGGGCGACATGAAGAAGCTTAGATCTCATGTTGACTTCGTGGTAAAAGTGTTATAAAAAGAGATAAAAACAAATAGATAAAACAGTTAAAAATAAAGAAAAATAAATGAAAAAAGAATAGGGGGAAGGGAGGAGAAATACATGCTCTAGCAACCGTATAAGATCAGCCGTTTCCACTGTAGTATTGCCGAGTCTTCCACATGTACTCTGTAGTCTGCTCCGGGGATGAGATGAGAGGCAGATGACTTTGTTCTGATATATTTACGCCGAAATGACACCTAGCGAACACAGTATTGGAACATCGTCAAAGGTGAGTTGATTGTCCAGAGCGGTTAGATCTTTGGAACATCTTCTTCGTCTTTACTGCCTCCGAGGTGATTTGTTTGATAGTCCACGTGAGAATCAGACCATGTTGTCATCGCCAAAGGCACCTACAGGGGAAGGAAACCCCCAGTTGAATCTCATCACTCATGCTGAGTCTACATCCAGTGCCGAGAGTGAACTTTCATCTGATGGTTTCCGAAGGGATGAGCCGAGGAATGGGGGTTGAAGAACACCACTTTCGTACTCGTTCCTGAATATTCATCACTGGTCAGTGACGTACAACTCGTTCTGTGGCGTGCTGTTAGTTCTTGGGCTTATCTTCATCATTGCTGGGTCTGCCGTGCAATATGTAGAAGTTTATTTGCAAATCGCAACAACATATGGATATGCCTCGGCATTCAATAGTTTGGCAGACCAGGAACATGACGTTACCCCTGAAGGCTGGAATACCAATTAATGGAAGTGTAATGAAGCTTTCGTTCTTAGAGCGATCCCAATCACACAGACAGCATCGTTCTGGCTTCTGGTATGTTGGGTCTTCAATAGCTGTAGGGCCTATGCATCTCTCCGAATGATGATAGATAACGGTGCGCCGGCCTGAGAGTTGTTCTCATCTTGGCTCGCTTGACATGTCGTCTATCAATCATTATTGTGAGTTTGTTCCACCCCGCGAATTGGACCTGAGAGATTAAACGGAACGGGTGGCGTTTTCAGAGTTTGGCGGCTTCATCAAGCTAGATCCGAGCCTAGGCAGGAAGTGGATCGTTTAGTAGATTCTGCATGGCAAGCTTGCTTGGTAAGGGAACGGGTATTGCTGAAATGAGGATAAGAATTCATGGTTTCATAACCGTATTTCGCCTCTAGCCGTAAATCGAGCTAGGTATCCGTACATCACGATGATTGTTTGCTGTAATGCGGAGATTATACCTGCCTAGTAATATTAGCCCGTGCAAGGGCAAGGAGCAAAGACGTGGGATCCCGGAGTCAAGACGAAGTGACCAGAGAGAAAACACTCAAGATGACGCAAAGGACCGAGGGACCCTCTCTGAGAAATTGAGGCATCGGAGGAAAACCGCAAAGTGAACCCAACTTTGCAGAGGGCACTGTGGTCCTTGAACCTGAGTCTGTGGTTCTAGCAATGAATGGCTTGCGGTGTGGCGGAGGATCCCCAGGAAATAAGCCCTTCAGCCCATTTCGGGAGGAAATGAGCTGGTATAATAATTCTGTACAGTATATTGGGTAACCGGATAAATAACGTCTTGTGGTTTCCTTTAGAGAAAGACCAGGATCTTGGTGGGTAGGTGTCATATAACATTGCGTTAAAGTTCCAGGGCTGTCCCTTAACCATTGCACCGGGTTAATAGATCCTGGAGGTAAATAAATTCACCGTCACCACCGCAAGAAGTATCCAATAACTAACCGGGGTCATGAAGATTGATCTGTAATCAAATCGCCTTGGAAGCTTCTGAAGAAGCATGGGAACATGGTAGCAGTTGACGAGGCTGGACAGGGCGCCTGAACTGATAGGGCTTGAACACCGAATGTCATCATGTCGGTTGTTGGCGAGGCGAGCCGTTAGGCGGTCCCAGCGAGTTGGGTGAGAAACCAGGGTGCCAGGTCTATTCTCTTCAGAGTTGTGATCAACAGACGAAAGGCTCAAGGCCATCCAATTGGGATCGCCAAAGCTGAGCCGAACTATTGCTCATAACCGAGGGCACTTGTTCTTCGACGTGATATTAAAATCTGATCCTTTTTACTACGGGCAGAATACGATATTATAAACTTGCTGGACTCGGATATAGCGTGGCGATGCCCAGGACTATCGCCGAGCAACTCTTATGAACTAATAATTAAGGACCATTAGTATAGCCGCATTCATGTGGTGCAAATTGAAGACCATTTCCGTACCAGAAGAATCATCGATCATGCGAAGAAGGAGGTCGAGCTGGTGGTTGCTTTTGATGATATGGGGAGAATATTTTCCGCGTCTCAGCAGTTCCCAGCAAGTTTGAAGAAGGTAGATCCGATTTGAACGATGTCACCTTTCCAACCTAAGGTAAAACCCATGTGCGTAGCATCCACCACGACAGTACGGAGTAGTGCCTGGCAGCCCACCTTTGTTCCCTTGAACGTTGCGGCCAAGATTGGGTCTAGCTCCAGGCACAGATCTGTTATTGGCTCGCGGAACGCTCCCACTGTTGCCGCCAGCCAAGGGAACTGATAGGCGTATGTGCGTCTGAGCCTGACATATCGGAGTCAGCGAGCTCTCGCCGCAGAGGAGCGCCGCCGAATAATGGCATTTGGCTTTCAAGTCAAAACCATAGAATAGCCGCTATCATACAGTTTCATCGAGGCAGCCAGAGGCAGCATGTTCACACCGCTTTTATTGGCGTTTGACAAAGGAAGAATGATTTATTCAGAGGCCCTTGCTTATGGTTCAAGAAACGACAGGCCTCTGCAAGCTATCGCGCCCCAGGCAACTCCTTTTTCAATATGTATAACGACGGCAACAATGACCTCAGAGGCGTATAAGACTTTGAGAAGACGGTGAATTGTTGAGAGCTACCTCCGCTACATGATCGGTGCGGCTTCTGTCTGCTGAGTAAGATCGAATCTCGGGAATTGTATGAAGCCATGAGTGGAGCACCTTCATCTTGTTACTATGCTGATCTTATGACCGTTAAGTCATTCTTTCGTGGAGGAAGTGGCAGGATTGCGCTGACTGCGTTGTAGAATTAGGTTTTGTAAAAGAAACGGGGGTAAGATGTCATTTCACACCTCAGACATGTGCGACCAGTACAAAGGGGTCGCACCATTCCATTGTTCTCGCAAAAGAAACCCGGACGGGCTGTGATCGAGGAAAAGCCGTGACTGAAGATCCGAGCATTAGTCGAGTATGTCTGGAGTAGGAGGGAGCAAAGTCAATGAACCGACAACGTTAAGCCGTGATTCGTCGAACAGAGAGTTGAGCTTAAAGCGAGCAAGGACTAGCAAAGTAGCAACATGCGCTGTAAGCCAATGCAATAGCATATGGAGAGTTGGGTTGTGGGACGGGTCGATCAGGTTCCGAGGATGGCGCTTTTAACTAGGGAGTCTCCTCCGTTAGTGGCGAGTTTCTTGGTGGCTTGTGAGGTCAAGTACTGTATGACAGTATGTAGTGTCTGTTCTGTGATGTGAACGATTTCATCAGTATTGGCTCTGTTACCAGTGTTGACATTGAGGCTTGAACGGGACAACATGCAGGGGCTCTTGTCTGAGGTCTGGTCGTGAGAGCGGTGGAGGATCTTGCGAGTAGGTACGGGTACCTGTTACCCCATAACTAAGTGCTGACGGGTGAGTAACTGAAAATGCCCGCGCTGCAACGCTGCTACCAACATCCGATTTGACACCGTTAGTCCTGGGTGTTAATACGATGGAAAAAGTAAATAGGTGAGCATCCTCCAAGTGTGGTTATTGCGATGGGCATTGCCCAACTCTTGCAACTACGGCTGCAGGATGTGGCTGCAAGCCCCAACGGTACAACACAAGTCAGAGTTTAGACTAGTGGGCGATGGATAACGGTTGCGATCCCTCCAATCTCCATTCGTCGTCACAAGGGAGCGCCTTTTCTGTTTTGGACTTTTAAGTTTCCACCGTTCGTTCTTGAGCTCCAAGAGAGTTTAGATACTTTATTAACGGAGCCCAAGACGTTTGGCCATCGTTGTACTAACTTGGGGAACGGATGGCACGAGACGACAATGTGACCAGAACGCGTCCCTTGCAGTAGCTTCTGCAGCGGGTGGTTCTTGCTCGAGTGGAGAAGGTCTCAGGCCCCAAGGCGCTGACCCCTTAAGCCAAGTATGAGACTGGTGAGCGACAAAGAGGGGACCGATGGCATTGCTTCTTAGCACTGCAGCCACTGTCTCGTACCCTGTTGATCTTCCAGGTGTCGGATGATAAAGCCAATGGACGATTTTGTATCCTCCTTTGAAGCATGATAGGTTGCACTGGAAACATTTGCGACGGAACTTGGTTTCGTATCAACGTCACGGCATCTGTAACATATCATTTCCACCTCAACAGCAAGCTGAACTGATACATATTTCGGGCCATTCGAGATAGGGCATCGGCTGCTACTCCGATCCCTTGAGGCGTCCAAATACCAAGACGAATAGGGTGGTGGCGGACGGGTATGTAAGACGGGGGAGACCAGGCGTTTGCAGTCTGCGGCGAGCAAAGCAGTCGCCCGTCCTGCGTGGCCCGGCAAACGTGGACAGAGGCTACAGAGCTAAGCAGCAAAAGCAAGGTAACCAAAGCCATGGATCTTTATGTGCGACACGGCATGGTTTGTGGCGGACGCGGACGTCTGACTGACCTGGGATTCGGTTGTTAAATTGTAGTGTCGGACATGTGTAGTATTTTGTACTCACGAACAGGAGATACAAGAT